GGGGGGGGTTTGGTGGTGGTGGTGGTGGTGGGGGTCCTTCAATGTGAGGTGTTTGCCATGTGAATCACAGATCCAGCCTTGCCTCGCCTCAAGTCATTTTGCTTTAACAAATTTAACCTTTTTTCTTTTTCATTCGGTGTCGGTACTAGCATTGTGGTCCGACTAAATTCGAATTCATCATGAAAAGTTCTATATTGGAGGGTAAAGCGCTTCCCAATAACAATGATTTCATATTCAGAGCTCGAACCCGATACCTCTTATTAAGAATGAATGTAAACTCAGAGGTTGATCCATGATTTGAAGTTTACGGGTTCCTACCGTATCTCAAATTAATATGCAAAAACTACTGGGTTCACAGTTAAATATTTACAATATTTAGTTGATTTCATATTTTCATTATATAAATATAGGATCTACGCAAAAGTTATTGGGTTCCCAAAATCCATATTCAATGCTCTAGGTCCGCCATGTGAATACTTACCACTTCACCTTAATCTTTATTGGTGCTTTAACATACTGTTTGCTCATTTCTATACCCACACGCAGGGGTGACAAAATGGTTAAAATAAAATAATTAATCACCCATATTATTCACTAAAAAAATGGGTTGGATAATGAACTTTTTAAAAACGGGTCAAATATGGATAAGAACCATATTATCCATTTTGAAAATGGATAACCAATAGGTCTAACTTTTACATTTGTAAAGCCTCAAATTGGGGGTTCCTCTAGTTAGGGAGACTAAGAATTCTCACAAAAGTGATCATATGCAAGAAGTCATGAATAATATGGTTACCCATATTATCCGTCGGTTAATCCGTTTTTTATCCCTATTAAATATGAGTCAGGTCGAATAATTTGTCCGCTTTTTCATTACCCGTTTTCAACCCGAACCATGTCTGACTCGACCCACCCGTTTGCCACTCCTGCCCACACGCACCGATCAAAAAGCGACTTTTGGTTTTGCTTTTTAAGTAGTATCTCATTCAATTCACATACAAAAATGGGTTAAGACAACTAGCAACATACCAAAAGTTCCATTTATTTAATAGTACTTTCATTTGGTTCCCACAACCTCTCCTATACACGTTCCGTAAAAGTGCATGAAAAGGGAGGAGAAAAGAGTGAAAGATTTATTGGTACTTTAAATTCAAACTAAATCAATAAATACAAAAAAAATCTTATATATAAATTTTATCACTTAATAGCTGATATTTATTTTAAATTTTTTTGTACTCCCTCTGTTCCTATTTAGTTTTCATATTAGTCGTTTAAACTCCCTCTAAGAAAATATTAATACAAAGATTTATTTGACTAATTTAGCCTTATTGACGCTTTTATCTTTATTTATCCTATAAATGCTCAATCTATTAATGCTAGGGATAAAATTAGAAAAAATTATTAATACTTTCTTTACTTTTCAAATGACAATTATTTTGAAATAATTATTTTTGGCAAACTGACAAGTAAATATGAACAAAGGGAGTAACTGCTAATAATACAATTAATATACACGATCAGGTTGAATTTATACTATCAATATATAATGTAAACACAATTCATTAATTAGAGTCAATTATTACAAATCATCTCCTGATAGGGAAATTACGGTAATCTCCTGTCTTACTATAGATGATCTTTTAAACTTGGCTTAACACGTCCGCCACATCTGAAACTGACTGAGAAAGACACTGAAGTAGATTCTTTTTAATTAAAATTATTAATTATAAAATAAAACCCGTTAAATAAATGACTTGCCTTATTTGTAATTGCTACCTACACATATATAATGCTAAAGCTACATCTTTCCACCATAATTCTCTCTGTTTTCTTTTTCTTCTTTTGAGAATAAAAATGGGGAAAGCAATTTTTGAGGAGTTTAGTTTTCTTCTTCTTATTGCTGCTGCTGCTGTTGTGCTTTGCTCATCAGAATCCAATGCAGAGATAAAGAGTTGTGATTTATTTGAAGGAAGTTGGATATTTGATAATTCATATCCATTGTATAATTCAACAGCATGTCCATTCATAAGGAAGGAATTTGACTGCATCAAATTTGGCAAACCTAATCTTGAATACCTTAAATATAAATGGCAGCCCACTGGTTGTGCCTTGCCCAGGTTCATCTCTCTGTCTCTCTCCCCTGAACAAAACAAATAGTACTCCATTTGTTTCGTTTTATATAATAATATTTTCTTCGCTTTTTAGTTTGATTTATAAAGGGTGAGGATATATTTATCTATACTATATTAAAATCGCGAAAATGTCGTTCGCGTTTTTTAGTCTTTAAAAGAAAAAAAATTTACCCTGAATAAAAGCGTAATTTAAGTTTTTTAGGACTTTTAATTATTAAATCTTTCGTTGTTTGATTTGGTAGAAATTCCTAATATTTAGGAACTTAAAATCAAAAAAACATATACGATAGTTTTTCATAATTAAATTCAAAATAATTATTTCCTTTAAAGACGTTTATTTTGGCTAAAGGACGGTATGTTTGAGTCCTTGAAATTCAATTTCCGCCATAAATTCCCACAATTTCTTCCTACTCAAGTTCAAGGCTTTTACTCTTTCTAGGATTGTGTTAGACTGTTACTCTGTTAGTATAGTATAAGGGATAACATCTTACATCTCGATGGATAAGGACCATAAAAAAAGAACTTCTCGATTCGCGTCATTTTGCAAATGAGATAAGAAAATGCTCCTTAGTAGGTGAGTTCTCTATGTTATTTTTTTGTCGTTCTATAAAAATTATTTCAACCTTTGGTGATTTTTGTCTTGTTTTTAATATTTTTATATGGTTTTCGAAGAATTATTTTTCGTTTTTAGAATAATTGATTATGAGGTTATTCTTAGAAGAATAAATCACAAATCTCCTTAAGATTTTGAGACTTTCGTGCTATGATGAAACTAATTGGTTATGATTGACAATATTTTTGACATGCTATTCAATATATTCCAATTTTTTATTGGGAAAAAGACCAAAAATTATTCTGAAAAGTTGCTTTGAAACAACAAAAAAGTTTGGTGTTTCTCAAATCTTGTAGATCTGCATAAAAAAAAAACTAACAAGGCCAATGGAACTGAATTATCGCTTCATGCATCCAGCCTCTCAATTCTACATATATGTGTATATATGAAAGTTGGTGATTGTTAAAGCATTTCAAGTGGAAAAGATTTGCAAATAACTAGCTGGTCAAAAATAATAAAAGTACATACAAATTTTGGTTGAAAGTCAAAATAATGTTAACGGAATAGTTGCATTAGAAAAGAAGAGTGATACTTCTAACTATTATAAAAGCACTTTCTTTTTTGCTTTAATTCTACTGTACAACCCAATCGTATGCTTTCTGGATATATACATGCAAGGAAACATTATTTGTTAAAATAGAAATGTTGAAATAATAAACCAGCTAGCAAAGTACATAGGTTTTCCTTTTGTGTGAAATTATGTTAATTTGATTCTCTCGATATATAACAGTATGTCTTTGACCCTTTAAATTTCCTTTTACCTCCTTGGTTATCAGCAATTTTCGATACAAAAAGTTATGCTTAAAGATAAACTAAATCTTAACATTATAATTTTGAAATCAGTTAAAATTTTATTTATTAATTCTTTAGTTAAACTATGGAGGAAATCCGAATATAATTACTTAAAAACGAAGATATCTTTATATTAGAACAAATATTAAATAAATTCTCCTCATCCTTTAAAATCTTTTTGAGCATGACTCCAATATTAGAGGCAAAATCTGAAGTCACAACAAGGTATCTGAGGTATATGGGGAAAGATTTATCGGATCAATATTGATCATTTTTAAGAATTTACACTTTTTCCTATGTATTTTATAAGTATTTATGTAATTTTTTTAAAGTCATGTACTTCATGTATGGGGTACTCATACAACAAGTTGTTCTTTTTGTATATAATTTTTATTGATTGACGCGATAAATACGTGCAACACACGTACACTAAAACTAGTATATATACATTGATAGCATAATTTTGTTTATAGCAGTTTAAAAAACGAATGAGATTTATAAATGTCCCTAAATTATATACACTGATAATTTAAAAGTTTGACACACTACTTGTATAGTTTGACTTGTGATAGTATATTAGTCAAACCAAGTTACCACCAATTACTTTAAAAAACAATTTACCTTAGAAGTGACTTTGATTGTGTAAAGATTTCTTGTGATGACAATGTATAGCAATTAAACTTTATATATATATATATATATATATATATATATATATATATATATATATCTATCTTTGACTTTTAATTTTTATTTTGTCGTCGTCATATAAATAACATAAGATATTTAAGACACCGTTCTAAGGATACTTTTGATATGGTTCGTGAGCAATTTTTTCCCTTAAAATTTGTACCCGATTGCAATATAAAATGAATGGAAGAAAATACTTTGTTTGCAATTGTTTAAAAAAGTTAGATATTCAAAGGAAGTGAAATAATACTATGGATTCTAAAGCATCAAATCTTTTTTGGGAAAACACAGGTTAAAACTACTAGGTGATTTTATCCTATTTATTCACGTCTTGGTGGATAAAGTTATCTGGTATTTGTTATTGGTGGGAAATAGTAAGTATCCTGTAAAATTAGTCGAGGTGTGCACAAGCTCGCCGGACACAATAAAATGAATATTTAGAAGGCAACAATGGAGCATTACCTATTCATGTTCGAAAACTAAAATGAACTGGCCTAACCTACTAGCAGAGGCGGCTCAATAAGTTTGGTACCACCCCTTTAGTGGCTTCACCCTCTCGCCGCCCCTGCCTACTAGACCAAGGAATTACAACATGGTATCTTGTTGATAAAGATATTAATTAAAACGTTTTCCTAATTATAAATGAAGTTTGACTAAAATTTTAATTTCTTCACAAAGGATAAATATCAAAGTGGTGAGTGTGTGTGTGTTGTGGTGGGGGGGGGGGGGGGGGGGGGGTAGGACATGATGCTAATTATGTTTGTTGAAATCTATGACCAATAACAAAAAAATGTTTTGCACATGTTTCATTCCGTTGTTGATTTCTTTTTGTTTTTTGGATTATTTGTAGATTTGATGGCAAAGATTTCTTGACAAGATTTAAGGGAAAGAAGATTATGTATGTTGGGGATTCGTTGAGTCTTAATAATTTTGAATCCCTTCTCTGCTTGCTTAATGCTGCAGTCCCAGATGCAAAATTCAATCAAGAAATATATAAGGAAAATGTCACTGTCACATTTCTGGTAAAGCTCGTTTCTTATTTATGCAAATTCTGTACGTATAAATTATAATACTCGCGGCGTGAATTCAAAATAGTCGAATAAGAAAATATTCTTTACATCAAATATTATGTGTGTATGTGTTGTTGAACACTAAAATCGTTTTTTTTAAATTATAGGATTATGGAGTTCAAGTCATATTATTTCATTCGAACCTTTTAGTAGACGTTGAAGTTGAACCTATGGGACGAGTGTTGAAACTCGATTCAATTAAAAATGGACAAATTTGGAAGGAATTTGACTTGTTGATTTTCAATACTTGGCTTTGGTATTCAACAAGAGGACCCCAACAACCGTATGTTCATCAACATTCATATCTTTTTAATTTCTTTCTGCTCTTAACTTTATTCCACTAAAAGGAGTCTTGGTCTATTAGTAAGACTTACCGCTTTGTGACTAAGTCACTGGTACAAGTAAACAATTTGTATAATATGTTTAATATGATCTAGCCCTTCACCGAATCCATACATAGTCGAGTTTAGTGCACTGAATTGCTTTTTTTATTTTTTTATTTATTTTAATTATTATTATTCTTAATTAAAGAAATATAAGTTCACGACATGTGAATATTGGTTGAAGGTGGGATTTTATTGAAGTTGGTGGCAAAATATCGAAAGATATGGACCGGGTAGAAGCTTTCCGGGCTGGACTAAATACATGGGCCAAATGGGTTGAAACAGATGTGGATACAAACAAAACCAAAGTTTTCTTTCAAGGAGCATCTCCAGCCCATTACCAGTAAGTATTTTTATTTTATTTATTTATTTAGTACTACTTTTTTGGGCTATAATATTAAGTAGGTGTTTGGCCATAAGTTTTGGAAAAAAAAATTCAAATATGTGTTTGTTTATAGAATAAATCTAGTTTTTGGGAGATTTTGAAAATCAAAACTCCAAATCCCAAATATAGCTTATGATCTCGGCCTAGCCCTCTTTCATCGCTCGAGTCTGAAGTTCAACAGCTTTCATCGTTGACGAGCACCTGCTTTTTGCGCCAAATCATGACCATTTTGGACTTTTTGGCTTGAAAAAAAAAAAAGAAGAATATTTTTTAACATGTCAAAACCTGCCTCAAAATTCATGTCCAAACACATTTTTAATTTCACATCAAACTTCACCAAAATCAGTTTTTTCGAAAAATATTTGGGAATCTATGACCAAACGGGTCTTAAGTCAATATTGTTTTTTCTTGTAATTTATATCTTTAATTACTGCTAATTATTTTATAATGGATGTTCAGTGGATCAGATTGGGGTGAACCTAATGTGAACAATTGCTTGAACGAAACAAGTCCAGTAAATGGATCAACATATCCAAGTGGCTTACCAGTTGCTGTAGGAATAGTGAAACAAGTGTTGAGTAATATTTCAAAACCAGTATTTTTACTTGACATAACAAAACTCTCCCAACTCAGAAAAGATGGACATCCTAGCAAATACAATGCTTTTAAAGGCATGGATTGTACTCATTGGTGCCTTGCTGGAGTTCCTGATACTTGGAATCAGATTTTTTATGCATCTCTTATTTAATATACAGTCAAAGTACTGACCGTAGAAACTAGGAATTTTGTGCTTTAAAGAAATATATACAGTCAAATCTCTCTATAATATCCTCGTTTGTTCCAGATATTTTTTTAATGTTATAGCAAATTTGTGATGAAATAAGAGATAATTCTTATTGATTTGAGATCAATTACAATGAAATAGAACCCCTTAAATGTAGCAAAGTGACTTAGCCACCAAGTAACAAACACTAAGATCTCTGTAAAATGTAGACATTCACCTTAAATAGAATTCTATTTATAACAAAATTGTTGTTAACGAGAACATATATTTTAACTTAACATCAAATTTGGTTCCGAATTAATTTGGTATTTATAATGAAGTGTTGTTATATAAGAATATTGTTATAAAAGATCTTACCGTAGAACATGCACATATTAAGTCGAGTATGATTTTGTTAGCATAACGGCTTATGCCATTGCGCAAACTTTTATTCAATATGATAAGGTATTATAACTTAATAATTATATTCCTTTGTATCAAGATCACCTCTCTAGTTGTCAGTTTTACTTCTGTTGCACATATAAATGTCAAAAAAGAACACAACCTATTAATCAAACTAAAGAAATCAAAACAAAAGTTCGCTTGATCTTCATCACCTAAAGAACACGAGACGCACTAGAAATCAAATCAATATGCTCTCCACTAAAGAAGAAGAAATCAAATCAACGCGAGAGACCCGTTGCGCGTATTATTACTTTAAATACAATACTTATTTTGATTGTTACTTAAACTTTATTGTATCGTATCGTTAAATTCATCGTTATGTAATAACGAAAAGTTTCACTTTATTAAACGACCGATTTGGTGTGGTCGCGTCGTTACCTTTTTTTTTCCTCATCTTGCCCTTCCATATTATTAAATAATTCTATTTTATCCGTTACTCTTACCTTTTTACATAATATTTCTACCTCGTACCTTACTTTTTCTTATAATATCGCAAGTTCATTCTTCATATCGTTGGTGTATGTGGTATCATGAAACGACGACAAACAATACAATCTATCCAAATATTGTATACATTAAAACAATAAAGTACGACACAATACAATACAATATGAAACGATGCATAACAACCATATGTATCCAAGAATCTTTATTAAGCATAAAACTTTGAGTTCGATTTGAAAAAACCGTGATTTTCATAACAATCTGAATAAGGTACATATCACGTGTCTTCGTTTACCCTCAAAATCAGATAACAATTGAATTTATAAGTGGTCTTAAGGATACGCGGATTAATTTGACACAAAGCAATAAATTGAATTATAAATAAGCGAACAGCGATAAAGTAAATTCAAACCGTATGACTTGAACAGTTATAGCCTTGAAAAGTAAGTCTCACTTGAACTGGATGCAATTCAAACGATATAAGATACAGAAGAACAGTAGCTTGTAGAAAAAAAAATTATATTATAATGCCTTGGGATGCGTGTAGCAATGCATGTAATAAATTAACAGACCCCCTTTATATAGTAGAGGTGTCATACTCTAGGTACATTTCTATAAAAGGTAAAAATCTCTTGATTTGTTAATTGTCAGTTTCTTGCTGATATGCGCCGAGATTCCTGCCGTAATATCCGCTTGGTCGTGGATATTTCGATCTTCCGTTTGTTATTTCCGAGCTCGCTCGAGGCTAAGGTCGATACCGGAGTCAACGTTCCTCGAAGGCAGGTCTTCCGACCTTAGGTTCTAGCTCGGTGAGACTCGAGGTCAATCTCCAATCCGTGGTCGCCACGTTCTAAGCCAAATCTACCAAGTTGTAGTCGAGCTCTACTTCGACCGTATACAGATAGTCCCCTCATTTTCGAAGATTAGACAACAAGTAATGACATGAACTTCCGATCCTAATCTCGATATTTCTTTTGAAAGAAACGACAAAACAGTCAAAATGTCTCGTTATTCAAGTCTTAATGGCATTAAATTCCTGTCAGTTGCCGGTCGGCCACTCCCAGATATGAACAGTTGCCGAGAAGCTATAAATACCACCTCATTACCTCATTCAAACTTTACTTTCAAAACTTCTGCCCTCGTACCTCAGAAATTTTTCAATATTCCCAAACATCAATTTTCTGATTACTTTGAAATCACTTTATAAGAACCTCTGTTCTTTATCCCAAATTATCAAGCATATCCTATTAACTTCCTTTTTTCCCTTAACTTTCCAAAAAAAGAAAAAGAAATGGCGAAGACCTCAGAGTCCGTTCCCCCAAAAAGAAACTCCTTTTGCCTCGCGACCGGCTGAAGAGGAAAATTTTTCATTTACTGCTACTGAGGAAACGACACCGGAGCCCCCTCCCCCCAAGATGTTCATTCATGCGGGGTGCCCGACCGGTGCTGATTTCAAGGTCGAGAAAACCTCCTCGGTACCGGGTCGTTGCTAGCCGGTCTCGAGATATATATGCTCGATTACCGACAGCCTCCTCTCCAAGATCAAGGAGGACTTTTAACTAGGTTGGTAAGCACATGGTGGTGCCTACGCCCGAGGAAGCGATTACTACCCACATGGAGGGTTTTTTAAGTGTTTACACTTACCCCTTCACGTTGGGCCCCTTGGACCCAGTCATCATCGCTTTCTGTAAGAGGTACGAGGTGACCCTCGGTCAAATTTATCCTTCTTTCTGGAGGATAGTAATTCTCCTCCGCTTATTCGTAAAAAAAATTGAGGGGTGTCCCTTCACCATCGATCACCTCATGCATCTGTACAGTCCCCGACTCTATCAAGGGGGATTAATAAAACTTGACCGTCGGGTCAGTAAGGCCCCATTCTTGAGCATAGACGAGGATCGGGATCGAGGCTGGTTGGGCAGATTCATTCGAGTGAAGACCTCAGATTTAATCCTGGCCGAGGACATGCCATTTACCGAGAAATGGAACATGAAACGTAAGTATTACCTTGCCTTTAAGATTTCGTTTATTGCTTTTCCTTTCCCTCCTTTCTTATTGATGTTTTGTGGTGCAGTTGTAGCTCGGATGCTGGATGCAGTTTCTCGACTCAAGGAGTGGGTCGAGGGCATCGTGTCACAGAAGCCCTATTTCGAGTGCGTGTGGCGCGAACTTTCAAAGGGCCGATGAGAGGTTCGTTCCCATGGTGAGATTCCTCTGCTGAATGAATAACACTTAGTTTTCCTGCCACGCTCCTTCTCACTTTTTCTTCCTTTACAGGTCTTCCCAAAGATGTTGAATGAGGCCTCTATTCGGTGATGAAGACATTCTCCCTGAACCATCTGCTCCAAGGCAGGATAAAGAGAAGGAAAGAAAAAGGGCTTCGAGTTCCCCGAACCTGGAGAAGAAAAAATCAAAAAGGAGGCTGATGCGCAAATCCAAGGAAAGTACAGTGCCTCGGAGGTCCCATCGGACTCACTAAATCGACTGAGGGACGAGTCTGAAGACAAAGAAGATGAAGCTTCCGAGCTGATGACCGCGTGAGAAGAGGTATCGAACTGCCTCAAACCAGGGTGGCCGATGAAGAGGCAGTGGTCGAAGCCCCCGAACCAGGAAGGGACGAGGCCATTTTGCCCCGAGCCGGGGAGGTCGACAAGGAGACCATATCCGGTAATTCTCGATCAGAGGAAAGTTCCACGAAGGATGCACTTGGTGTGATAGATCTCTCCGGGTCGCCTTTATTTACCGACTCATGATCAATGAGGCCCATATGCTGAAAGAATGCTCAAACAAGGGGCCTCAAGGGGCGACAAATTCTTTCATTAACTTCTTCGATGTATTACGCCTCAGAGGATGTCACCGGGTTGGGTGACTTACCAGTACCAAAGAAGGTACCGTCTTTGGGAGCCAGCGGGTCTTCCTAAAGTCTGAGATTAGTGGACTGGTTCCCAGCTCCAGTGTAGATCCTGACCGGAAGCGATCAATCATTATGTCTATTCCGGAGGACTCCGGGGTTCTCTCTGCCCCCGTGGGAGTTGCCAACTATCTTTGCTGCTTGGTGACTGAAGAGGACCAGGCCAAGATGGACGAGGTGGAAGCACACTACCTGTTCAACGAAGCTCAACAGGCGTTAAATCGGGTAACTTCGAATGCCTCTTTATTAAAGATTTAAGTCGCAAACAATCGTAACGTCTCTCTTTGTGTTTGGAGGCCTCGGTGCTTCATCACAAAACTTTTCTTCGATATCAGGAAGAGTTAATCCAACACTAGGCCGAGACTCGAGAGCTTACTGAGAAGAGGGACGCTTACAAGCTTCTCAGTGAGAAAATCCAGGCTGAGCTAGAAGCGGCTCGGAAAGAGCATGCTGACCTAGTCGAGCAGGTAAGACGAGTATTTGAAGTTAGTGATGATGATTCAGACACAGTGGTCAACGACTCGAACCCGCAGTTTCAAAAGAAACTTGACCAGTTCGAGCATCTCCAGATGGCAGTGGATATGGTGAAAGCTAAGGCCGAAGAATGAAAGAGAAGCATGGACGTCCTGGCCTCGGAAAAGGAGACTTCCCGAGCACAACTGGCTTCGACTAAGGTACATCACCGGGATGCAAAGGAAAAGTCCTTCGTACAGGCCAAAAAGATTGAGGAGATCCAATCTCAGCTGAGCTCGCGGTTTTCGGCCAAGAAAATCTGGCCAAGGAACTTGAGGCGCCAAGTCGGAGATTGCTGAGGTCAAGGCTGAGGCTGATGAGAGGGTGGCCTAACATAAGGCCGATGTCGAGGTGGCTTAGGACCAAGTGAGAAATATGGTGGAGCTTATGAAGTGGAATTCCCAAAGGGAGGCCCTCGAGGGAGTTCAAGCTCGGGGTTTTGACCTGTTGGCTGAAATTGCGAATGCCAAGGTATCCGAAGCCAAGGCCAGGAAGCTGTCTTATCCCGAGGAGGAGGATTCTAAGGGGTCTGAAGATTCAGATGAGCCTGAAAGTGGCAGGGACCCCGAGGTGATGACGCGGCCCCCGGCGAAGACTAGGCCACTTAGGATCCTCTTAGACGTTTTTGTATTTTGTTTTTTATTTTGAGGCCGTTTTGACCATTGTAGAATTTTCTATCGGGGCCATTTGGCCCTTTTGAAAAGAATTTTGGATAAATATATAAGGATTTCTTTCCCTTTCACAGCTTTCGAGTTTTTCCCTT